TATCATCGTACACATAATGCCACTTCAGCCGAGCCACTTTGTGGAAGTAATTTTATTTTTCCCCAACCCCACCATTAAATCTGTATCGAATGCTATTGAAGACCATCTGCTCTGCCTGAGCTACGTCACCGGTCACTCCGAAATCAGGAGGCTTCGCCAGCTTGTCCCCTGGATGGGGGAGGTGGAAACCACAGTCCATCCACGGCTCAGAGACACTGGTGCATGGTGCCTTCTCTGCTGTTGCTGGCTTCCTGGGAACCAGCCTTCAATCTGAAGGCCACTTTGGGTGGGAGAGAGTGGGAACAAAGGACTTGAATGATTTTAAAAGCCCCTCCCCATACCTCCCACCCCTGGCCAAGAGAATCAGGCCTTCTTGTCTTCCCTGGGAGCCAGACCTGCCAAAGAGACCATGATTTCCATGTCCTGGATCATGACACCCTCTGACATTGCTGGATGCCCCGGCCATATTTCCTGTCAGCTCCCCATCTTTTGTGTGATCCCCAAGGGAGAGAAGGTAGAAGTTGCCAGTCCGCAGAAAGAACTGGCTCCATTCGCTCCTGTGTCCTATTGACGAAGCAAGACGTGCGCCAGCCGAGTTCCATGCAGCTCCCTCATGTGTGCAGGGCGAGTGATGGGTTGGTGGCACTACCTTTGGAGTCAGTCCCACAGCTCAGATCGGCATTCTTCATCCCTTCGCAGAGCTGTGTAGCTCTAGAGAGCATTCCACTAAGAGTAAGTGCCACAGTTTAAGTGTCAACCAATCTTCCATCGATGCCCTAATGAATGAGATTGTGTGTATTCTTTGTTGTACCCTTTGAGGTGTCTTCAGGATGAATTCCTAGAGGTGACATTGTTTGGCTGAAGGGCATGTGTTCATTGCCCAGGACTATCACAACAAAGTACTACAAACTCTGAGGTTCTAACCCCCCGAGTGGATTCTCTCACAGTTCTGGAGGCTAACACTCCAAAGTCCAGATTCGGGCAGGACCATGCCCTCCAGGAAGGCCCTAGGGCAGTGGTCGGCAAACTCATTAGTCAACAGAGCCAAATATCAACAGTACAACGATTGAAATTTCTTTTGAGGGCCAAATTTTTTAAACTTAAACTATATAGGTAGGTACATTGTTATTAACTTAATTAGGGTACTCCTACGCTGGCCTTTGCTAAAAACGTCCCCAATCTGATCGAGGTACGTTCGCTGAGGTTGACCCCTTCCAACTCTCCCAACAACACTCATCTTGTATACTTGTTTCGTCTGTCTCCTTTCTGAAAACCAACTTCTGCGCATGGGCCACGAAGTTTTAATCGCACTGTACTTGTGCATCCACACGTGGTATTTTATGGAAGAGCCACACTCAAGGGGGCAAAGAGCCGCATGTGGCTCACAAGCCGAGGTTTGCCGACCACTGCACTAGGGGAGCATCCTTCGTCACCTCTTCCAGCTCCTGGGTTGCCGGCAATCCTTGGCTCATAGGCACAGCACTCCAATCTCTACCCCAGCTGTCACCTTCTCCCTGTATGTCTGGGTCTGTTCTTAGAAGGATACTGGTTATTGGATCAGGGCCCACCCTAATCTAACACAACCTCATCTTAACTTAATTACATTCTGCAAAGACCCCATTTCCAAACAAGGTCACAAATGCAGGCTCCAGTTGGACATGAATTTGGGGGGATGCTATTCAGCCCAGTGCTGTGAGTGTATCTATAGTTTGGATGTACTGTGTCATGTTCCCCTCCAGAGTGGTACTTCGTTGCTCCTCCACCCCCAGCAGTACATGGGGGCACCTGTTCTCCACCCCCGGCAACACGGTGTGTTGTCCAACTTTTGATTTTTCGCCAACCTGATACGTGAAAACGGTGTCTCAGTATCTGTTTCTCATTAGGGATAAAATCGAACATTTTTTTCTTATGTGTTGATGTGTACATTTTGTGGGCGGTCTGTTCATATCTTTCCCATTTTCCTAAAGGGCTTTGGTATATTTCCCTCGGTTTTTTACCTGAAACTCACCCAGGACTTCCCTCAGTCCTTTTCCGTTGCTCATTTTTCTGTGATGCGGTTTTCATGACCGTTTAGAAGGAATCGTGGCTCACACCAGCTTTTCAAATCCTCAGAGCCCCTCGCTGTTATTTGTGGGGAGTGTTTTAAACATACGGCAGCTTGGATTCTGAAAGTTCCTGGCTCTGTGTCCTCCTTCAGTTGCATCTGGACCCGCTCTCCTGTTCCTCACTGTCTCCTCTCTGAGCAATGTTTACTCCACTCCCAGCATTTTCTTCTGGGCTCGGGGTCCCACCCTAAAAGCAAGTCCCTGTGGGTCCATCATGAGAGTCAACAGTCTGAGCAGCTCCAGCCCTTCTCCTTCCCCCCAGCTTCACCTGGGACAGCTGCCATACTCTCAGGGAGACCGAAGCTTCATCAGCCCAAATCCTCCTTCTGTGCTTATAGTGACAACCATGGCTATTTGGGGTTTTCCTCTGCTTGGGTCATTCCGATGCACTGCCACTTCATCTGCTTTTTCATGCAGACAAAAACACACGTGACTTTGTGCTTCCGTGGTCGGCTCCGTCTGCTTGTATTTTGAAGTTCTCTCGAACACCTTGTGACCCGGTTTCATTGTAAACGGTCTCTGAGGGTTTCCATCTCTCTGTCCAGTGGCTCTGGCCTCTCTTCCAGGGGGATTTAGAGACACTGAGGAAGGAGACCACCACCAATGTGGCCGTCTGACCTGGCTCTCCTGGGTCTTTTGGAACTCTTCGTATGTTTCTGAAATCGGCCCTGCGATTCTGGTCTGTATTAAAATATCATCCTCCAAGTTGAATTTTTCAGTGTTGCATGTGGGATTTCGGGCAAGCATAGGAATCTTTTCAATATTTATGTGTTTGCTCATTTTATGCCTTTATTCGTCTTTTCCTTTACAGTGTGGATTTTGAGTCATAAAGAAAAAGCTTCCCCCACAGAGGACTTCACTGGTGTTATTTTCTAGAACTGTGTGGCTTCATTTTTTGCATTTATATTTCTAATTCACTTGGAGTTTACTGTTGTGTATGGGTTGAGTGTGGTTATTTGCTTCAGCATCATTTATTAGAAAGCCAATCACTTTCCAGCATTTGAGATGTCACCTATATCATATATTTCCCATACGACTGAATAACTGGAAAAATAAGGTGGATATTTTAACAACGTTGGCTTACTTATACAGCCTTGTTCCCCAAAAGGATTTATGCAACTCCTAGTGAGGCTAGATTATATACAATGGACTAGGATGACACTAATAGGAAACCTCATTCACATGGTGTACTGGACACATTTTACCATTTTCTACAGATTCTTCTAACACTCCCTCATTGACATGTTACCTTTTGTGTTTTACAAAAATGTAAAATATTAAAAATCAGACATAGAATGGCTCCTATGCAAAACACATTATGAAGTAGGAGATTTGTTTGTCTAATGGCAGAATTGTCTTTCAGGGGATGTGATCTGATTAACCAGCCAGATTCTGTGACATCCTGAAACCGACTCCCCCATATTTCAGATTCAGGCCGAAGCAGACGATGCCAATACTCTCTCACAGTCTATATTATTGCTCTTGTATCCTGCGTGTATTTTTCTGGCACACATAAATTTGTTGATCATTTGTTTTTAAGAAAAATAGAAAGGGGCTTGTCAAAAGCACAGCGCCCCAGGTTTCCATTTGAGAAAGTAATTTTGAGGAGGAATTAACTGCCCTGAGCTAAAAACCCAGACGAAATAAGCCTGTATCTAACAGCTCCACCCAGGCCTGTCCACGGTCCTTCCACAGGAGGGAAGTTAAGATCCTACACAGTGCGGCTGCACCCCCTGGTGGGGAGGTCTGAGGTCGCTCCCAGGCGGTCCCCAGACTCCTGCCCCACCTGCCTTCCGCCCTCTATTTTGAAGAGAAGAAAACTCAAAGTTACTTCTTCAGAATCATTTTACCTCCAGAAAACTTAAGTATAATGTTTGATTTATCAAATATTTAAAACTATGTGTCTTCACACCCTGTGTGAATAAGGAACATCCCAAACTAGTCTTTCCTGGCTAGTTTCCTAGCATTAACAGTAATCTCCATGAATTAGCCCAGACACGGACTAAGACTGACCTCACTCAATCCTCAGAGCAGCCTTGCAGAGCAGCCTGGATGTTACCTTGGTTTTACGGGTGCAGAGGGAACTCGCGGAGGAGGTGAGGGGCTCACCTCATCCCCTGCCCTCACTCTTCCGCGCTTTATCTATAAACCCTGGGCACCTTCCACAGCCATTATTTTCTACAGCTTTCTTTATGCCTCCAAACTTCCCCTAACATTTATCTGCCCTTAGCTCCAGGCCCTTTCAGAACTTTTGCAAAAATGGTTTTATTATTACTTACTCTACTTCTGTGCAGTATGCGGATGTGTTCCTTGGATTGTGCTGAAATTATAGCATTGACATAGCTTGAAAGAGAAGGTCTCTTTCCTTTCAGTCCTTTCTTAACGCCTACGGTGGGCGGTGCTAGTAGGACAGGTGCTAAAACAAACACTGATGTTTCAGAAAACCTGTGGCCGCTTGGCAGCGTGGGGGCTGCCTGGAGGGAGGCAGGTGGGCAGGTCTGCAGAGCGCGGCATCCAAGTCGTTGGTCCCGGGCGGCTGCCCTCGGAAGTGGGGTCCCCCACGTGGAAGGACAGTGTGCCCTTCCCAGAGGGGGGAGGACTGACGGAGCAGGTGTGGGGGCAGAACCAAAGCTCCGCTTTGGACCTTTACGTTTGCGTGTGTGTCAAGCCTCAAAGAGAAGAGAGACATCGACTAGCCCCCAAACATGGCCCGAAGCCCTCCCCGCCAAGGTGTTTGGTCACGCACACACAGCAGAACTTCCCTCCAGGCCGGGCCAGTCCTCCAGAGCACCGAGAGCGCCGGCCAGAGCGGCGGCGACCACTGCCCGGCAACCGCGACGACCTACGACGCGCCAGGACCGACGTTGCGCCTGCGCAGGGGTCCACGCTGCGACGGCGGCTTTACGTCATCACTTGTGCGACGCCCCGCCGGACAGCCTGGGGTCTGCTCTTTAGGAAGGTGCAGGAGTGGGACCGGCAGGGAAGATGCCCGTGGCCGTCATGGCAGAAGGTGCCTTTAGTTTCAAAAAGTTGCTAGATCAGTGCGAGAACCAGGAGCTCGAGGTAACCATTCGCATAGCGCGGGGAGAAGCCGCGGGGTCTCCGGGCCCCGGGCGGCGCTGGTCTCCAGGGTAACCGGGCCCGGGGCCTGCGGGTCGAGGACGGGGCTGGGCGTGGGCGCCGGGAGGGCGCGGGAGCTGGGCGTGCGGAGTCCGGCGCCCTGGCCTGCTCGGATGGCCAAGGACCCAGGCCCAGCCGCCCGAACTCGCTGGGAGCTTTTTGTTGTTCGTCTTTAGCTAATGAGCCCGAAAATCTTGCTCATCTTTGCTCCTTACACCCTCCACTGTGCTGCTCGTGTTACTAAAACATGTCCCCCCACCCCCGGTGGCGGGGGCGGGCGGAGGGATGTGGATTTTGTTCAAGACGTGTGCACGCGCATACACAGACCGAAGGTGTAACCATGGGAATCTTTTTTAGCTCAGGAAGCCCTTGTTGGTCCCATATGTTGGCAGACGAGTTTACCGATAAGTAAGAGGCGAAAGTTAAATCATCCAGCTATTAAAGTTAAGGTTTTATTTTAGAAAGGCACTTAAAAAAGCATGTATGAAAAAGTTAGCCAAAGGAGACAACAGCTGCTTACTAATAGACACAATCGATTTTTTAAATGAATGAAAGTTGAGTGAGGTTAGAAATGTCTAACTCAACTGTGATGTTTTTCTGTTTGTTACTCATTTACTTAGATATTCAACATATTTGATACAATGGGCAGAATCATCATGCTTTAGGAATCTGTTGGAAATACTTGTTTCTTATAATTGTAAGATAATTTATATAAGAATTTGAGACTTGAGAAAAGGATCCCATTTAAATATTCCCGTTCAAATAAAGACACTGAAGAGATAAGTCACTGCCAACAACACATTTCAACTTGATACTCTAGGTTTTAAAATAAATGTAAATGAGGTTATTCTCTTTCATTTTGGCCTTCTAGGCACCTGGAGGAATTGCTACACCCCCAGTGTATGGTCAGCTTCTAGCTTTATATCTGCTCCATAATGACATGTAAGTACGTTTTACTAAAGCTAAGAGCAGCAATTTCCTCAAGGTTATAGAGAATTCATGCATTAAAATACCATCACTAAAACATGGGCACGAGGAGCTGTATCTTTTATTCTAGTACTTAATACATCTGTGTCAAATACTGAATCGTAAATTATGATGAGGCTGAGTTATTCTAGACTACATTTGTTTTACATACACCTAAAAAGCACTCCAGTTTGTTATTAGAAACTACAATGTCAGTTTCAACTTGCTGTAATCCTATTGATCTTTCCTTTTTGTCTTTTTATAAAACTTTCTTATTACCTTCATTTATTTAACTTCACGTGTAATCAATAAACCAAGAGAAATTGAAAGGGAAGGTTGAGGAGATTAAGAGGAATTTATTGCCAATATGTATGAGGTTTCTTGAAAGCTTTCTGCTTGTTAATTATTTTTAATTCATATTTGTTGAAGAAAAGTCAGAAAGCATGACTGCAAAGGGGTAGGAGTTCTATGACCCATCGATGACTACTGTTAAATTTTGTTTTATTCTTCTAAACTTTTTTTCATATCTTTTAAAAACCTAAACCGAGATTTTTATCACACACATATCACATAAATTATGTTTCATTTATTGTAATCTTGTCATCCTGTGTTTGTTGTAGTTCAGGCTCCCAAACTCTTAAAAACTGCCTTGAAGTTTTGGTGGCTCTGTGCCCACTGCGGGGAGGAGAGGTGACAAGGAGAAAAGCATGTGTACTGTATGTGTTGTCAAGGGACACCGGGGAAATTATTTAGGCAGTTCTACTTAAATCTTTGTGCTTTTAGTGTACTGTTGCCTTAATTTAAGATCTGGATTATTAATTAAAATTAACTTACTACAAATGGCAAAATATTACTTTGGTAAATATATTTCATGTCTTTTAATTTGGAAAACTACTATTACTTTCCCTGAACAAATTCATGTAAAACTAAATTTCACTTTGTATTTTATAGACTATTTTAAAGTATACCTCTGTATGTTCATATTGGGATCTAGAATTTTAAACATTTACTGAGGTGATTTCTTTTTATTGCTTACTTTTTCTTGGGGGTGAAAATTAGGAATAATGCAAGATATCTTTGGAAAAGAATACCACCTGCTATAAAATCTGTAAGTATCCTTTCTATTTTTCTACTTTAATACAGTAACAACATTCATTTAAATGGTCACCTCATAAAAGTTTGTTTTCTTTCCCATATAGTTCACAGATATTGTTATTAAACCAGTGTTAAAGTTTAAAAATAGATCTTCAAATTCTTCTAATCAGAGATTTTAATTTCCCTTGGATGATGTAGCAGTCTGTATACTCAGCTCCTGCTGATCAGATTTCTTGAGACATTTCATGTGTCACTTAACCAGGTAAACAACTGAGCCAGTTTAGATAAAGGTCTGGTGTCTGTTGTTTTTTAACTGATTTATGCAGCTTTCTATTATGGGACTTGTTTGAACCTGGTAATGTTTATAAGGATAGTCTAAAAATGATGATTACTCACAAAATTAAGATTATTTTTGCTAATTAAGACTTTAGGTTTCTTATTTTGGGTAGGAGATTAGATGAAATAACCTCTTAATAACCAAAGTGGAATGAAGTAAATTTTTGCTTTCAAGCAATTCACTGTGTCTAGCATAAATGTGAAGTGAAAATTTCAGAAAATTACCAAGAATCCACCCAAAATCCTTTGTTGATTATCAGTATTCAGCAGCAGACCAAATTAGTATTTTCACTCCTTCTTCTTGTCCGGGTCATTCTGTTAATGCTCCTCCAGCTTCATGGGCTTAAGAAAAGAACAGCCATCACTTATGTGCATGATGTTACTGGCAACTTTAGCCTTAGACATCTTAGATTGGCAGTCTGTGCAATTAGCCATTTTGCTATTACTTATGTCCTAAAATATATATATATATATTGCCCTAGCTGGTTTGGCTCATGGATAGAGTGTCGGCCTGCGGACTGAAGGGTCCCGAGTTTGATTCTGGTCAAAGGCACATGCCTGGGTTGCGGGCTCCATCCTCAGTAGGGAGCGTGCAAGAGGTAGCCAATCAATGATTCTCTCTCATCATTGATGTTTCTATCTGTCTCTTCCTCTCCCTTCCTTTCTAAAATCAATAAGAAAAATATATTTTAAAAATATATATTTATGTATATATATCAGTTATACATTCTGTGTATTACATACATGTATTAATCAAATACAAATACTTCTTTTGAAAATAATATTTAAGATAATTCTAAGATTTAGTTCTTTGGACAGCATGCTCATGCCTTAATTTGCTATTACAATAAAAATTTATATCAGCCCTGGTTGGTGTGCTCAGTGGTTAGAATATCAGTCCAAGCACCAAAGGGTCCTGGATTCGATTTCTGATCAGGGGCACATACCCAGGTTGCAGGTTCAATCCCACATGCAGCCAATCAATGTGTCTCTCTCACATTGATGTTACTCTCACACTCCCCCTCTCCCTGACCCTCTTCCTCTCCCTCTTTTCCACTACCTCCCTCCCTTCCACTCTCTCTAAAGATCAATAGAAAAATATCCTCAAGTGAGGATTAACAAGAAATAAAAATATATCAAACATAAATAGACTTTACTGTTCATAGTATTTTAAAACCTTTTTTATAGTATTGAGCTAAAAGGTAATTACATCTCTTAAAAGAAATGTTGAATTGTTTTAAGATACAGTTGTTAATGAATCTGTATAGTGAATATCCTCAAAGACAATATTTATTGCAGGCAAATTCTGAACTTGGGGGCATTTGGTCAGTAGGACAGAGAATCTGGCAGAGAGATTTCCCTGGAATCTACACGACCATCAACGCTCACCAGTGGTCTGAGACGGTCCAGCCGATCATGGAAGCACTTAGAGGTAGTGTTGCTTTGTGGTTAAGAATCAAATTAGACTAGACTTGTTCCCTAAGTGCTGCAGTGTTGAAGTAAGGCAGTGGTGTGTTTTAAAAATAGATATTTTCTGCTAATGGGGCAGTTTTCAGAACTCTTTCTTCCATTTGTTATAATCATGCTGCTTCATTTCATGTTGCTTGTGATGACATCGACAGCTCAGGGCATCACTGTCTTTTAATTCTAGATTGGAATTGCTCTGGTCAGGTTTTTTTGCTACTAAAATGAAATCTGGTAATACTCTGATAACTTCAAGGTAGGGGTTTAGATTTTTTAAACCAGTTTTTTGAAAGTAGAGACCGTGCTTTAGACTTGGTCAACCTCAGCCTTCCATAGGTGATGTTTCTAACTTCTAGATTTTATTACTAATCAATCCAGGGCATAGATGCGCAAAGATGAAAAGCCTGATGAAACATAATGAAACTCGTCCCTGCCTCCATCTTTCCGTTCCCCCACCCCCAACACTTGCTTCCAGTCTTCCTGGTTGACTCTTTTATAAATTCATACAATGAACAGAAGTCTTTGGGTTGATCTAGTCTCACAACATTTGGACAAGAACAATAATGTCATTTAATTACGCCTTTCAAACACGTCAGCCCTTTGGTCACTCTGCCCACCCTCTGCTCCCACACAGAGGCAACGAGGAGACGGGCCTTCGCCCTGGTCTCTCAGGCCTACACCTCCATCATCGCGGACGACTTCGCAGCGTTCGTCGGGCTCCCTGTGGAAGAGGCTGTGAAAGGTATGGTCGGCCGACTTGTTGCTTTCAGGGAAAGTGGGAAATGGAGGTGTTTGCTGTGCATGTTTTTTAGAGAGGTGACAAGCACGCAGCCCAGCACCCAGCAGGGCCGGGCAGCAGATGCCTTGATGGCAGGCACAGTATGTGAATACCCACATGGTCATTACCAGGGCAAGTGCCAATGCCACCAAGTTATCGAGAGAGAAGAGTTGACCCATTGCTCATTTAGAAATCCCACTTCACTCTGACTTGGTGGACTCATCCCAGCATCCCTTTCCAGCCCATCTTCTCCCTCACGATTTTACCGGTCCCTCTACCCTGGGAGCTGGCACCCACTCCTGCCCGCTGGTCCCCAGAAGTGCTTCTGCATTTTTGTTTCTCCCGTGCTGGAGTGAATTAGAACATTGCACACGCTGTGTGGCACTGTTTTATAATGATTGACGTTTTAATTCTCTGGCAAAACGGAGTTCCATCGAGCATCACATCTTATCCTTATATGCCCAAGGTCTAGCACAGCTCTAGACCCTTAGAAGCAGGTTGATGAAAATTCTCAGAGGAAATCTTACCATTACTTACTCAAGCAAGCATTTATTTATTTGACTCTTTTCTGGAAATCCAATAAATGCTGTACCCCAGAGTCCATACTGGGTAGAAGTGTGGTCCCACACCTGTGCCAGCTATGTGACCTAGGACAAATTGCCAGAATTCCCTAGTTCCGTGGCCGGCAAACCGCGGCTCGTGAGCCACATGCGGCTCTTTGGCCCCTTAAGTGTGGCTCTTCCACAAAATACCACGTGCGGGCACACAAGTACAGTGCAATTGAAACTTCGTGGCCCATGCGCAGAAGTCGGTATTTTGTGGAAGAGCCACACTCAAGGGGCCAAAGAGCCGCATGTGGCTCGCAAGCCGCAGTTTGACGAGCCGCAGTTTGCTGATCACTGCCCTAGTTCATTTCCCACATCTGTTTAATTATGGTTGCATGTGCACTTCAGAGAGCTATTACGGTGATGATGTAAAATCCTATAAAAGCACCTACCATGTGCCTACTGGTCAGCTCTCTGTACATGTCAGCTGTTCTTTGTATGGTTCCATCACCTTTGTTATTACTGATACAGTGGTTACATAAAGTACCATGTAAGTTTTTCTTATATCTGTTTTTAATAACTGATCATGTTAATACCATAGTACTTCGTAGAAAACACATCATCTATTAGTGGTTATACCAGCCTGATAAAGTAAAAGGAAGCTTTGATCTGTCTCACAAATGTTTCAAAATTAAGATTACATGAAAACACTGTAGCATTTCTTTCTAGTAAAACTGCACGTGACAGGTTAAACTACGTGTGTCAGGTCTCCCGAAAAAGTGATGCCATTGAGAGTAAGCGCTCAAGATGAGCTACAGAGGGGAACCCACACGTTCACCCTTACAACCACGTGTATTGTTATCAATACCAAATAAAGAATTTAATCTCTTTACAAGGTTAGAACTAAAACAAAATAAAAACTACAAAAAGTTATTTCTTCATTTTTGTGTTAAATACACATTTATAGGGATATTGGAGCAAGGATGGCAAGCTGACTCCACCACAAGAATGGTCATGCCCAAAAAGCCAGGTAGGTGGAGCTCTTCACCCGTGTGCACAGCATGGAACTCCCTGGGACTGCTTTAGTTTTCAGACATTAAATTTGAGTAACTTGATATAAGATTCTGCTGTACTAGCAAAATGAAAATAAATCACATATTAAATACAGAATGACAGACATGTAGGGTGGAAAGGATCTTAAAAGTCACCTAGTTTTACCTTAATTATTAAAAATGTATCTCCTGTACAAAAAACTATTTTATGTGGGTGTTTTATAATTCCTGTTACAACCTAACTTTTACTAAATATTAATCTCCCATTCTTTCATTTATGGAGCCATTTCTAACTGTTTGTCCTTACTGTCTAAACTGTTGCCTTAGGAAGTTATTTCGATACTCAGATGTTCCCCTTTCCTCTTGTACTTAGACACGTAGACTCTTCTAAACAAGACTTTCAGTGCCTTCCACCTTCACACAATTACGTTACCTGGTCTTCCTTTTAAGGCTTTAAATTAGGTGCGTTGGCTGCACTGTCTCAGTGTGAGCTCCCAGCCCCTACGCCTTCCTCTCTGCTCGGGCCAGGCCCGGTCCTGCCCTGGTTTCCTTCCACTGACCAGGAGGCTTCTTGCTGCCCGGGCGAGAGTGGCCTTACTGCCCACCCCCCAGCCGTTGCCGTCTGTTCAGCACCGAGCTCCTGTCTGGCGTTGCTCCACAGTCGAGTGTCGCGGATGTCAGGGTGCTCAGCCCTGCGCGGTGCAGGGGGAAGCCAGGCCCAGCGGTCTGGAGGACAAGAGAAGCGAGTCAGATAGAGGGCAGTGGTATCTCTGTTGACAAATAGTGGCCGTACATGCATATGGCGTTAATGCGTGTGTGTGTGGAAATTCCTTGTAATGACTTCTGTGAGTGGACTTTATGTTTTGCTTATTTAGTTGCAGGGGCCTTGGATGTCTCCTTTAACAGGTTTATTCCCTTATCAGGTATGTAATCTCATGCACTCAGTTAAATACATTTCATTGTTCTTCATTTTTTTTTTGTAGTTTTTATTTTGTTTTAGTTCTAACCTTGTAAAGAGATTAAATTCTTTATTTGGTATTGATAATAGTACACGTGGTTGTAAGAGTGAACGTGTGGGTTCCCCTCTAGCTCACCTTGAGCGCTAGTGCCCTGGGCCCAGCCGTGGGGCCGCCTTAGTGTCGGGAGGGGGAGCCGTGATGGGGCCTCAGCAGCATCTCAGCAGCATCCCAGCTGCCACCTGAAAAGCCAGAGTGGAACCCTGACAGTGTGGTCTTTGTGTTTTCCCTTCATCGACACCGAAGCCCTCCCAGAGCAGTGCTTTCGCCTGGGAAGCACTCGGTGGTTCATCCGTGGAGTTACATGTCACGTGGGTAGGGGTCGTTCCAAGGAGAGCTGTGTTCTCTTCAAAGGGATGTTGCATGTTAGCTTCAGTAACAACACACCGACGGGGCTTTACTCCCAGTTTGGGAAAACTCATAAAGTTCAAGATGACTTGGCTTATTTTTCAGATGTGCAAAGTCAGGGCAAATCTAAGAAAGTTTTCTTAATGTAAAATTGAAGAGGTGTGGGGAAGAGGGGGTGCAGAACCAAAGCTGTGTTACTCTGGACACTGACTTTGTGACTCTTGCATGCCCAGAGCCTGCCCCAGTTCCGCCGATCCCCAACGAACAGCAGCTCGCCAGGCTCACCGATTACGTGGCTTTCCTCGAAAATTGACGCCTCATCTGCTTTACGATGACACCTCATCAGCGTTCCGTATCCTGACAAATGTAATTTTGTATTTTCAGTTTATTGGATGGATTAAGCACCTCGGCGCTCCATACTGAGTATGTGATAAAATACAGATGTAATATAAAGCATGTTATATATTTGTCCTTGCACATCATGCTGAGTAGTGGTGAGACAGTTCTCCTTTGGTGGCAGCTGGCAGTGTGGGTGAGGCTGCCAGGACGACGCAGTCAGCCTATATTTCCGGGACTCGTAGGTGCAGCCCCCCGCCTCACGAAGCACAGTGCATGGCAGCGTCTGTCCCACCCGCACCCGGTGCTATCCCATCCGGTTTGAGGAAGGCTGTCCCTGGGGGCGTTGTCTGAATTGGGGGTGGTCCTGAGGCACCCTCTTTGGAGAATATGCTCTCTTTTCTCCTCCGCTCCCACGAGTCACTGATATAGGATGATGAGGAACAAGAGACATTTCCTTAGTGAACCAGATTGTTGGGTTCCTCCCTTAGTGTGAGTGCATCCGTTGCTGGCAGTGGAGGGCTTGCCGTGGAAGTGGGACTTGAGACACTTTAGACGCTTATGAGAAGTGTTACGTTGTGCTGTTTCTTCTCAGAAGAGGGAAACGTGTATTGGGAAGAAGCTATTGAGATGAGTAACACTTTGTACTGCTGTATTGCAGCCTGCTGGGTGCTGTGTTTACCCCTCGGTTCAGTTCTGCCTTTTGGAAAAATACTGAACAAGTCTTTCATTTTTCGTGTGATAGCCCTCTGAATATTTGAAGTTGTTTATTGTATTTTCAGGTTAAAACACCCTCGAGTTCATTTATTTTGCATTTGTTCAATAAATATTTAATTGATTTCTTCAACTGTTTCATCAAAGGCAGTTTCTAGAAATTTCACTATCCTGGTTTTTCTGTTGACATTCTAGTTTATCACTGTCTCCCTTAAAATAGGAGTTTCTTAGTTAAAATAGGAATGACCTGTATAGTGGCAATTACATGAACTCCTGTTTCCACTCATTTTAAGAGATCTGTTCACAAAATGTTCACTTTGCACTAAGGTTATAAGAACAGCACTTGAGTTTCTCCATGTTACTAGTAAACTAAGAGCCACAACTGATAAGGTGCCAGATGTTCACAGCCCTGTCAAATCAAAGCTCCATCCCTGGGGAGCCCATCGAAAGTCAACAGACTATTAAAAAATTGTCCAGCAAGTTTACACCCATTTTGTCATTTTCTAAGTTTTGATAAATGTTTTTTAACACACACGTGCCATAGAAGGAGTGCTTGCCAGGAAGGGCTTGTCAGCATGAGAAGGAATGATGGGGTGGGATGGCAATTGTCCTCAAGTGTCGGCCTGTCGCCTAGCAGGGTTGTGTTCATTGCTTCCAACAGCAGAATCACGTGAAGGTTAGAAAAGACCAGCACTGTCCAATGGAAATAGAAGGTGTCACATAGGGAATTTAAGTTTTCTAGTGGCCACAATAGAAAAGTGAAAAAGGAAAACATGGAATTAATTTTAACATATTTTATTCAGCCCAGTCCAAAATATCAGTTCAACATGCCATCAATATCAAATCTACTAATGAGGCATCTTACATTCTTTTCTTCTTGCTACATCTCTGCCATCCCACGTGGCTTTCACTTCCAGCGCAGCTCAGTTTGGACCAGCCACGTGTGAGAGAGCATGTGACACGGCAGGTCTGATGTCTCAGACACAGAGAGGCCTAGCAGTCAGATGCTGCAACCCAGTTACATAACCACTCACCAGGGCTGTTGGGAGAATGCCCAGCGCTGACTGCATTAGGGACAGTGACCTGGTCCCAGGAGACACGAGAAGTTGCCCAGCAGTCCTCTAGCTTTCAAAGCGTTGGGGGTTTTTTAAAACAAGCTGCAAATAAACTGCATTGAAAAGCAGGGGAAAGGCATCTATTAACTCTGGGCTGGAGCAGCTCATGAATTGGAGTGTGTCCTTGTCAGTAGTGCTGGCCTGGGTTCCTCGCGGAGCCACTGACAGCACTGCCGCTGGCGGAGATGGAGGTCTGCCTTTTGGATGGAGCTAATAACCTGGGGTAATGCAATCCTTTTTACGCTTAGGCAAAGCAATAACCTTCCGCCGGTGCTGCTTCTCTCAGTGAAGGACGCATTCAAAATGTCGTGGGAAAGCAGTGTAATTTTAGCTAAAGCTAAGGCCAGGATGGAAAATTTCTTCATTTAAATGGTTGATGACGTTCTCTTGGGTCAGGTGAGACAGTGGGAAGCCAGGATTCCTTCACACATCTTTTCAAGTAAAGAGTGAACTTTAGTGATCACCTCGTTGCGCCCACCTGAGCAGGGCATCTGCGTCCTGAGCATGAGTCATGGTTTTCCTCCTGGATGGGGCTGGAGGAAAGGGTTGTGTTCTGAATAAAAGGAACCAGGCCATTTTTCCCTTGAGTCACATGATGGAGGGAATCGCCAGAAACCAGCATTGATTTAATCATGTTCTCGTGATCCGTACGCCTGTGCCCAGCCTCTGAGAGGAGCAACCCAGGACAGCCAGCAAAGTGCCCCCATGCACGACAATCCATAGGGTGATAAACACCCACTTATAGGGGTCCCGTGTCCCTTAAATACCGTGACTGAAAAACAGTTGAGGTGTGAGGCTGGCGGTGAATGGTGTCAAAGGAGAATGGCCCAAAAATCCCAACTCCCGTCTGGCACCCGTATGCCTGTTGGATGCCGCCCTTAAAATCTCGGTTCCTAGCAGACTGTACTCAGGACTGGACCCATTTATTTCCCCGTGACACACAGACTGGATGGAAATGTGGGAGTGTGTCCTCAGCGGCTTTAGTTTTGCCTGCGGCACTTTTAACATGAATTCATTTCAAATGATCAGCAGGCTTCAGTTTTTAGCATCTTGGCTAAATACTTGTTTGGATGCCATGCCTGTCATGTGGCCCGAGCTGCTGTTGTAGGGCGGGGATCTGCAGGGGGCTGTTCTCTGCCCACCATCCTTCCCTCGCGGTAGCAGAGGGCTCTGATGAGAAGCAAACACAGGGTTAACCCTGGGTTGTCAAAAGGAAATGTTTCAGCCAGAGCCAGACCTCCTTGTGGTGCAGCCACTCAGCACCATCCTACCTCCCCACCACTGGGTTTTCTGACCCACCTAAAGGCAGTCTGCAGAGAAGTCAGTCTGCACGGCTGGAGAAGTGTCACAGAGAGCAGTACTTGATTAGACAGCAAGTTTCAAAGAGAAAACAGACATCTTGCAAGCCCTAGTTCAAAATGTTCAGACCACAGCAGCGAATGTAAATACCTCAGGAATCTCCTACCCATCTGACCAGTCATGTTTCTCCAAGGGGTTGAGTGACGGCTGTCATACCCCCTCCTGGGCTGTCTGCCATCCGGGCTCTGCCTATGCACCCTTGTCTGAGCCTAGAGCAGCCTCCCCCGGTGGCACAGAGTGGCCTGTGGGGAGCAAGGATGTGTGAGTTAGGATGCTGAGGGGCACCTTGTTTCGTGGGTATAGCACTGAGTGGACGTCTGAGGGAGTCATACATCCCTTCCCTTGTCTCCAGGTCTCCCCTGCTTAGAGAGATTGGATAAAACCAGCCTTCATGTTACCCGCCCACATTACTGCAAGCTGGCCCTGCTCCAGCACCCTTCCCCTCCCCGTGACCTCTTAGCCTTCATTCACGAGAGAAACCAGAAGCTGCAACTGAGAACAGGGACTGCCATGGACACCAGCAGTGTCTCCGCCCAGGTCCACAACTCCTGCCTCCTTCCTGTCAGGGATGCAAAGGCTGCCTGAAGAAACTAATCCTTCAATTTACTCCAAAATATGCGTAGAGCCTTCGGCACTTGCAAACCCATTCTGAAATTATAAACAAGTAACTGGTCCGGCTGGTGTGACTCAGCAGTTGAGCATTGATCTATGAACCAGGTGATCTCTGGTTCAATTCCTGGTCAGGACACATGCCCAGGTTGTGGGCTCAATCCCCAGTGGGGGCCGTGCAGAAGGCAGCTGATCAGTGATTCTCTCATTGATGTTTCTATCTCTCTGAAATCAATAAAAATATATTTTAAAACACACACACAAGTAACTGAAGGTTTTCCCATATTTGAAAAGCATTGGTTAGACTGAATTATCATCTTCCGTGTCTAGTTTGGTCTAGACACAGCTGGGAATCTGGACACACTGCCTTCCTGTCGGTCCTGGAAGGACCGCAGCCTTCCGACACTGACAGCCACGTGCCCGAGTGGAGAAATGGTTTCCTCAGCATTTCCAGAAAAAGGTAGACCTGGTGTTTTTGTTTAATTGACAAAGTTGGTCTTTCACAAATGAGATTTTTGTTTCTTTCAAGTTGGAAGTTAATCCTAGAGCCATTCCGCTGTTGCCCACATTCAAGGTGTGCTCGTATTTAATGTAGACACACATGCCCGTGAACTTGTGTCCACACCTAAAGGCACAAGAGGACCCACCGACAAATAATTTACCCAAATGTATTTGTCTCACTTGCCTTTCCCACCTACAGATCCTCCTCCTGTCCCTGCACTCTTGTTGTCTGTCCCCATCGAAGTGCAGCCCGCCACGGGCACCCTCCCTGGATGGACGCCCTCGGAAGGGCAGGGGCAGGGTGCAGGTGTGTGCTCACAGGGTGGGGAGGGGCTGCTGGAGCCCAGCCTCTGGCCCAGCTCATCGAGACCCCTGGCCCTGCCCACCCGAGACCCCAGCCCTGGCTTCACTTCGAGGGCTATAAGGGATCCTGTGTGGACCTGGGTCCACACATGGGCTGCAGGGCCTGTGAAGGTCATGAGCTTGTGTGTAATGATGGGACTAGGGCATGTGACTTCACTGAGTCATGAGGGGACACAGGTGGAGCGCCTGACCCCAGGCCAGTTCCTGGGCGGGTGGTTCACACTCACCTGGGCCCCAGCCAGTCAGTCCTCTCCACTGGGAGAGGCGGAGGCCTGTCCAGGACCTCTGGGTCCCTGCCCCACACCCACCCGAGTCAGGCCTGACTGGTCTGCAGGCACCCCTGGTGTGAAGGCAGAGCTGGGGTCCCCCGTGAGTCCCCTTCCCCTCACGTGTCCGCACTCCACTCCCCTATTAAATCTTGATTTGTTTCCAAGCTCACTGCCCCTCCATCCTGTTCTTTTTCTCTCTCCATTTCCTTTGGAACTGAAACCGAATATTATAAAACTGAGTCTAAAAGCCACTTTTCCTGTCAGTTGTGTCTGTGTCCCCACCCTGCCCCCGGCAGAAGGGACAGCTTCCACGGGAATGCTTTCTCCTGCTCCCAGGTGTGCCTGCCGCCTGGGACCGCATGCTGTCCCTGGAGAGTGGCTGGAGCTGTGTCCTCTGCCAGGGTCGCTGGGGTCACATCTGACGAGCTACAGGCCTGACCCCAGCCTCCCACCCTCGCCCCTCGCTTGGAGCCGAGGCCTGTTCTGAGCAGTCCCCAGGAGAAAGTAAGGATGTGGGTCGCCTCCCTCCTGCAGAGGCCTCTCCTGGCTGCTTCCCCTGGAGCCGGTGTCCCGCAGGTGGGCAGTGCAGGCCACGGCAGGAAGGGGGAGGCCCCAGAGTCTCGGGGCAGCTGGGCTGGTGAGAGGACGCTGCAGACGTGGTCTCATCCGACCTCACAAGTCACAGGATCCAAGCTCCTTTGGGAAGCAGTTAAACCTAATTTCGAACATTCCTGGCTGCTAAAATGGTCTACTTTCCCCTTTGCCTTAAAACGTATTAAGGCAAACGTACAGAAGTCAGTAGAAGGGTTTCGGCCCCTCGCCCCCTCCTGGGATCCTTGCCTGAGCCTCAGATGAGGCCTCCACAGGCTTTCCCTGAAACTGCCCGTGTCCTGGGGTGTCTGAGCCCCTCCAGCTGAGGAAACACCCCCAAAGCTCCTGACCCTGAGTCCGAGGGATCAGTTGGAGGGGTGCTGGCTGGCTCCCCTTTCCTGGGGCAGACACTCAGATCCGCTTCCTGGTAGGTGTGGGCCCGGGGTCCGGCGGGGAGGGGGGGCAATGTATGTGGGTGGGGGCACAGTGCGTGTGCTTCCTGGGCTGAGCACCCGGCCCTGTCCTGCAGGGAAGCATGCAGGTTCCAGGACTCTTCCTCCCATCCTCCTCCCTCCTCCATCCAGGCGAGAAGGAGCCTGCATTTCTCTCCCACCCCGTCCCCGTCCCCACTCCAGGTCCTGCTGCCCAAGAAAGGCCTGGAGGGAACCCAGCAGCTTGAAGTGGTTAAATAAACAAGAGGCTGTGACTCATGGAGGCATGAGGCGGCTGGAAGGGGGAGCAAACCAAGTGCCAAAGCCGTGATGTGGCGCTTCCTTGGAACCAGTGAGGGAGGGCGCGGAGGGGAGTGGGAGCTGGACCAGGTGAAAGCAGGAGTGTGTGGGAGAGAGAGACCGTCTGTGTGGGGAGTGTGAGTGTGAGCTTTATCTCCCTTTCGCTTCCCCCAAATTGCTTTCTCAGGACGAGGTCTTGAAACAAGGCTCTTTTCACTGGCACCTGACCCAGCTCAGTCCAAGGACCCTGGTTGTCCCCCTCCCCCTCCCTGAGGTTGTCTGGTGAAGTCACCCTGGACAATGGAAGTAGTTACCTGAAGACAGACCTGGAATCCCAACCTCACCTGCATTAGATGCTCAGCAGGAAAACAGACCCCTATTATGAGGCAAACCAAAGGCATTTTGTGACTACCAGAACTTAAGCTTATTTGTCCAAAACCTTGGCTTTTGTCCCCATTGTTAAGGATGACACCCTAGATCAGTGGTTCTCGCCCAGGAGCAGTTTTGTCCCCGGGGCTCACTGGCAATGCCTGGAGATATTTGAGATTGTCACAACTGGACATGGAGGGCTCTGAGGCAGGGGGGCTGCTAAACTCCCCGCAGAGCACAGGGCAGTGCCCGCCACAAAGAATGACCTGGCTCATATGTCATTAGGGCAATCTCTGTCGTTGCCCGCTGGTCCTCTGGCATGAAGAACCCAAAATGACAGTAGTCCCAACCTCAGTGTCACTCTCACAGTGCCCCCTGGTGGAAGCCCCTGTGATCCAGAGGAACTTAATCCAGTTTCAACTCCACCTTAAAGGGCACAACTCCCTTGGGGGAGATCAGATGGTGAGAAGTACTGCTCAGGACTCAGCGCCCATTTCAGCTGCAGGCTTAGCCAGATGTGGCAGCTGGGAGACACGGCCCCGCATTGCTCATTGTCCTTTATTGAGCTCTTTCACGTTACCCAGCTTGGGACTGGTGTCTGTTTCCTGCTGGGACCCGGGCTGGCACTACACCAACCGCTTCCACAGGTTTCCAGTGCAAGAGCCCAACACATTCCTAGTAACAGGAGGCAGAGCCCAGGCCTGGGGCTCCGAACCCTTGGTCCAAGGGTTTCTGTTCAACGTGTGTGTTTTCCAAAGTTGTTGCACCACTTACACTCCCGTGAGCAGCGTCGGGAAGTCACAGTTGTTCCATGTTCATGCCAACACTTCGTATTGTCTGTTTTTAAATTTTTATGATTGTAGTCCTGGTGCATGTCTGGTATAATCTCACAGTGATTTTCATTTTTGCTACCCAAATGGCCAATGAAGTTGAGCATCTTTTCATGTTTATTGGTCATTGGATATCATTTTTTTTGCAGTCTTTTGCGCATTTTACTATTGGGTAGGTGTTACTGTTTTACTATCATTGATTTTCAGGAGCTCTACATATGCTCCAGAGACAAGCCTTTGCCCCACATACATCATGCAAGTCTCTGTTCCCATCCCGTGGGGTTGCCTTTCACTCTCCACGTCCCCTGTCTCATCGTTCATATCCTGAAGTTTCTACTCATCACTTTTCTAGTTTATTTAAAATGATTCTTGAGAATAATGTGTCCTTTTCCTTATATTTTCTTTTATTTTTGCTGAATTTTATTCCTAAGCACATTTTCTGGTCCCAAAAGGGCCTGTGGAAGACAATATTCTAATCGATTAAATGTTAATGGGTCTTTATTTTGCCTTCAGCCTTCATTGGTAATTTAGCTGGTCTCATACTACCCCGAGAATTCTCTCTCTTTCTCAAAGTGCATTAGTTAAACAGTCATGAGGAAAGAATATCTCATCAAATCTCACTTTGAATATGTATTTTAAACGTCTTCACTTGGGTTCTTTTCATTTTTTACAGTTTCTTCTGTTTCTTAAAATACCTCTGTTTTCTAGAGATTTGATTTCCCCAAATGGGCTGACTGGTCTCCATATTTTTGCCTGCAGAAACTGGTGAGTGTTCAATGCTTTTGAGCCTTACAGAGGGAAATCAATCCCGGATTGATTTGTTTTTAAGTGGGGAATTTTAGACTTCTTGACCTCTTTCTGTAACCTGATGTGCAAGTAGGAACTGTGGTTAGAATAAGGCGGCGCAGACCTGCGAGTCTCGTGCTAGAACAGCCGGCCATCAGCTGGGGCCATCTACCGTCAGCTGGGGACACGGAGCCTTCGTCTCCCAGGGCCTGCTGACCAGACAGCAGGAACAGCTGAGGCAGAATGTCCGGCTCTGCTCCCAGAGCCGCCCCACCCCCCCCCACCTCTCCCTTTGGGCCGTTGTCTATGGTGAGGTTGATCCCAATGGGGCTGCCGGGGGACTGGAATTCACCCCTGAACCACCACATCCGCAGCCCCCGCTGGGAGGTTTAGTGGCGGGTAGGATGGGCCACCTCTCCCTTATTTCAGTTTTTTTCTGGTGCCATTTCTTATTATAAATCATCAGGATTTTAGGGGCTTGGATGGTGCCTTTTCCTAGTTCCCAGGAATCATGAAGATTTCCCCCTCTTCTGTTAGGTGATTGGGGGGATTATTTGAGTAATGGACAAACTACAAAAGGTTAGAATGTCCTCCTGAGTGAGGAGCGTTAATGGAGGCTCTGTGAGGGAAGGCATCTGTAGATTCGAGTGCATGCCAAACCACAAATTCGGAGATTAGGGATTATGGTAAAACACACAGCCAGCTGGAGGGTCTCCCTCATTAGCTCATTTGGAGTCATCAGTAATTTGCATCTTGCTCAAGCACTGGACATCCCTGGCTTAAGGACCCACGACGCTGAAGCCAGCCTTGAGCCCCAACGGCTAGCTGACCTGCCTCTTCATTCCGCTGGAGGAACTCCAGAGCGCATCTCTGCAGACGCCTTGACTGTGTGTGTACTTTTGTGAGATTCTCAGGCTTTGCTGAGTGTTTCTGTAAGTGCTCATTTGAGTTCTTTTGCAATCAAGACAGCAGGTCCAGGGTTTGTGTAATTAGTTCAGCTTGACCTCTCTCCAGTCAGCACTGTTGACTTTGGACGACGATCCTCTTCATTGCTCACCCCCAAAAGGCAGCGCCTCTCCTGGCTAATTGTCCTCCCAAGGCTTTAAAATAGACTCTGTGCTGTTCGTTTGTTAGTTTTTAAGGTTCAGTATTGTTAAGATGGCAATTTCCCGGAGTGATTAATACATGACATTCCCAATAAAAGATTTTGAAATCCTATAAAATCATGCCGTCACTTTTTTTTTTTTTTTTTTTTCTTTTTATTTGGAAACAACTTCAGTCTTACAATACAATTGCAAAAATAGTACAGATGTCCTCATCTTCCAGCCTCTACTAATGTGAACATCACACATAACCAACAGTACACTTCTCCACGCCTGAGGTTAGTGCTGACACGGCACTGTTAAGCAATCCACAGACCTTATTCACCCACTGTCCCACCCAGGTCCCATCTTTGGCCAAGGACCCCATGTGGACCCTGCACCGCATTTGGCTGTCCTGCCTCCCTGGCCTCCCTCGTCTGGGACAGTTGCTCAGTCCCTGTGTCTTTCACAACCGTGACGTGAATGAAGAATACAAGTTGATATTTTGCGGACTGTCTCAATTTCCGTTTGTCTGACATTTTCTCATGACGAGACTGAGCTGATGCATATTTGCCAAGGACGCTGCTGAGACAGTGCTGTGCCCGTCCTGCCCGGGGTAGATGAGGCCCACATGTCCTGTTACTAGAAATGGTCATGGTGATTTGATGAAAGTGTGTTAGGTTTCTCCACGGTCGCCTCAGTATATTCCCTTTGTAACTATACGTGGGGAGAGACTTTGAGACCATGTAGATGTCCCATTCTCATCATACTTTCCCCCACCTTTACCATCCTTTGAATGATTTTTGTCTACAACAGTATTAGTATGTGTCAGCCAAATAGTGATTGTCTATTGCCATCTTTCTTTCTACATGGATGAATTTTACTGTGATAGCGGTTCTCTCACTTCTATGTATTTACTCAATTATGTTGTTGCATTAATATGGACTCATGGGCATTCAGTGTATCCTAGGAGCTATAACCCATTACTATCATGAGATCTTTTGTTGCTCAACTCGTCCCAGATTTAGTCATTGGGAGACCCTTCAAGCTAGCTCCCGTTTTGACCTGACCCCCTCATGTTGGAATCACATGCTTACTTTCTTTCTGGCTAATCGTGAACATTTCCTGGGCAAGCCCTGCTGGCATCATCCCTCCAAGGAGCTCTGTTCCTTTCATGGGAGAATTCTACATAGAACCCAAGATCTGGGTGCCAGGTGTGCTCATTGCTGAGGGGTGCATCGCTTCTCAGCCCTCACATTCGTCATTTAGGTTCATTCCCCCATATTCTGCGTGTGAAAAAGGTAAAATAGTCTCCATTCCTTCTACCAAAGTTCTCTGTCTTACTCCATGCATTGAAAGTCAGAGTTCAATACTTCTAATTACCTCCCTGCCCCACTTTTGTGGGGTTTATTTTGTTTTTGCATTTACATATCAAGGGCACAGAGTGGAGGAGACCAGGGGGTGGGAGAAGCCTCAGATGTTTAAATCAGTAGAGCACAACTGTCCAGTGAGAAAATAGCCACAGGTCATAGATCAAGGTCAAGTGGATTGGCCTGGACTCGGGCCTCCTTGGCATGGGGACTTCGCAAAGAACACATGGCTCCCCCCCCCCATACCCGCCTGCTCCCCAATGTCATCTTGTTTCCTGGAGACCAGCTCACTCGACCATAAATGCTGTGTCATCTGTGGTTTCCTGACACATGGGCTCCAGGACACTCAGGTGGGTGGGTGAGTGGGCTGCGTGATCCTAACTGGCAGCTTGGGGCTCCCTCGCAAGGCCAAGGCCACTGACTCATGATCCCACAGGCCATCTTCTCCGTGGTGGGAGGGCACTGCTGGCCAGCAGCCCTTAGCTGTGGGTGGGAAGACTGCCTCTTCAGGACAGAGAAAACATTGTACTTTTCACTCAAATGTCCTTTCTGGCCACAATGAAAAGACAGAACTCATGTAGAGTTTCCAGCCGCAGGCACACGCCCAGCCTCTGCCTCCGGGTCCCCGTGTTCTCCTGGGAGGACTGCAGCCCGGGGACAAGGCAGGTGTGAGGTCAGAAGGGCCACAGCTTCCCCTCACCCCCACCCCCGCCTGCGCACCAGGCTGCCCCGCACCCTGCTCCCTACCCTGACTCAGCTCACTCTGCGAGAAGCTTTCTCTGTGAAACAGCTCTGGTCTGTGGTTCACGGTGGAAAGCCCCTAGCCATGCCTCTCTCTCCCGAGTTCCCATGGACAGTGACAGAACGGGTGTAAGGACAGTGCCAAGAAGCGAATCATCACTGGAAACAAGGAAGATGTGGGGTGCACAGGCAAGAAGCTTCCGGAAACGCCTTCAGCATGCTGAGAAGGTGGCGGGGTTGAACGACTCACTGGTATACTTACGTGTGGGCTGGAAAGTCTCTTCTGGGAAGAAGACCCAGGGAGTCTTTGCAAAGGCTCCATAGAGCCTCAGTCCTCCTGAGGCTGCGGACAATGTGGGGAGACGTGGCAGGGCCCGCACTGGGTGGGCAGAGCCATGGGTGCTGTGGCCGGCCCAGCTCCTGTTGGTCAAAACAGCCACCACTGAGGACAGATGCTGGAGAAGTGTCCTGTGAGTCACTGCAGGACAGCCTCCTGCAGAGGCTGCCGCACCTTCACAGGGTCCCCGGGAACTGCAGTCAAACCCAAACACCCACGTGAGACGGCAATCTCTGGAGGAGGCCTGGCAGGGGGGCAGCTGGCGGGCAGCTGGCACACAGGGCAGTGGAGTGGGCAGGCAGCAGCGTGGCCTGCAGCACTCAGCTGCTCTCTCTTACGGGTGATGGGGCTGTCCTTCACCTGGGACCTGAACTGGGCCAGATTGGGGGTAAGAAGACTGAAACGAAAGGAAAGCACATGCTTGGGGGCCCTGAAGGTCGTCTCAGAGACGGAGACACTTAGATGCTGGTCCCAGGCCTTCCAGCGTGTGACCTTTGGGCCTCGGTTCCCGCCTCGGTGATGCAGGCCCCCTTCGGCACTAGCACGGATTTGGGGGCACTCCCGCAGTGACTCTGCTAGGCTCCCCAGCGTGGTGTTAGGACGGCTGATCAACTCTTCCCCTGACTCCGTGCTGGGCACCGAGCACCCGCAGAGGGAGGCGTTCAAACCGCACAGTGGGATTCACTGTTACTATTTATTTGGTGACCTGATGCTGCAAAACAAATCACCCCAAAGCCCAGAGTCTAATAACCACAAGTCATCATGTACAACAGCACATGGTTTCGTGTGGGTCAGGGAGCCAGGAGCAGCCTGGCCAAGGGATTCTACTCGTGCTTTCTCAGGAGCTGCACAGTCAGACGTCAGCTGGGCCCTCGGTCTCTGGGGGCTGCACTGGGGCGGGAAGGCTCACTTCCAAGCGGCTCATTAGCATGGTCAGCAGATTGGTGCTGCCTACAGGCCCCACCCCTCTCCCTGTGGGTCTCTCTGTGTAGACTGGGCTTCCCCACATAATGGTATCTGGATCTAAAGACAGATGTTCTAAGAGAGAGAGAGAGAGAGAGAGAGAGAGAGAGAGAGAGAGAGAGAGAGAAGAGAAGAGAAGAGAAGAGAAGAGAAGAGAGAGAAGAGAAGAGAAGAGAAGAGAAGAGAAGAGAGAGAAGAGAGAGAGAGAAGAGAAGAGAGAGAGAGAGAGAAGAGAGAGGAAGCTGTGCCTGTTTTATGACTTAGCGCAGGAGATCTGACACCATTAGCCCTTGCCACACCCCTGACCAGGGCAGTCACAGTGTCTGCCCAGATCTGAGTAGAGGAAACTAGACCCCACCTCTCAGTGGGAGGGTCCAATCACAATCACACTGTGAGACTATGGGGAATGGATCACATATATATAAAATAAACACACGTCTTTGGAACATACAGTCTGACCCAGTATTGCTCTTATTAGAAATGGAGAGAGCAGCTTTTCACTACCTTTTGTCAAAAATTGCTGGCACTCCCAGAGCGGTTTTGTCTGTCCCATCTGTGAACAGAGGTGGCCCTTTCTTGTCGGACTCTGAGCTTGATAAAGACCGTCTGGAAATATTTATAAAAATGACAAAACTGGCTGGGTTGGTGAGGTAGCAGAAAAAACAGAACACCAAAGAACAATTCAAGAATTCATCAAATTTATATCATATTGCAACATTTCTTGCACCCAGAAAACCACCTGGCTGTGGAAATCAGTGACATAATTGCCATGATCTATGGCTTTGAGGAGGAGGGGGTGGAAACACGGCTCCGGAAGTGGACCTTCCTCACGTAGATTTATGGCCTTCACTCCTCAAGCCTCTGACCCCATTCCACCCCCAGCTCTCAGCACAGGACCTGCTTCCTTTCCCTGGAGATGGTGGGACCCAACCTGGGACTTTGCAGCACGGAATCTGCATGCCAGCTGTGTCTTCCTTCATCCCCTCTGCTTCCCCAGGACAACGGCAGAGCGGCCCTGCCCTGACCGGCCAGCCTCTCCACTCTGAGGACCCGTGACCTATTGACTTTCACTCTCACCTGTGTCTTAGGCATGTTGCCTTTATTGTTTCTTTTCAGCATTTCATGCCAGGCTCATCTTTAAAAGCACAAAATCACCATCACCACCACCAGCAGTGGGCGGCCCTGGCACTAAGCCCATGGGTCATGACCTCTGAGATCCTTCGAGATATGGAGGGATAGGGCCTGGCTCTCAGACACCCTGGTTCCACAGCCATCTCTAACTCTGTGGTTCAGGGGCGCGCCTGACCTCGGTGTCACTCCAAGCATCCTTCAGAAGACCACAGGACAGGACCTGCCACAGCCAACTCGCATGGAAAGGAGATAGATGTAGGTAAACATGAGTGCTGTATCTGCTCATTGACCTTCCTAAAGGTCTTGCAGAACCAGAGGCTCTTAGGAAGTAAGACTGTCCTTTCCATGGAAAGAAAACCATGACACCTGAAAGATAAGATTAAAGTTACCTATGGATGAAGCAGAACAAGAAATAGCGTTTAAACTTTGAGAATGTGGTAGCAGAATAAAATGTGCGTAGGAGAGTTGAAAGATAAAGTCAAGGAAGTTTCTGAGATAGAAGGAAAAGAGAGAGATGAAGGAGAAGAGAGGAAAGACAAGATAGGAGGAACGTTAGAATGGGCTGGGTGCTCTCCACTTCTCCTCCAG